TAACGATGTACATGTATATATACAATATTATGTAACGATGTACATGTATATATACAATATTATATAACCATGTACATGTATATATACAATATTATGTAACGATGTACATGTATATATACAATATTATATAACCATGTACATGTATATGTACAAATTATATATATATTGTATGGGAGTATGGGTGATATTCATAAATGACCATATATAGGCTGTGTATGATTAGTGTACATACATGTGTCCCACATGTTATACAGTGTACATACATGTTATACAGTGTACATACATGTTATACAGTGTACATACATGTTATACAGTGTACATACATGTTATACAGTGTACATACATGTTATACAGTGTACATACATGTTATACAGTGTACATACATATATAATAGTCCTTATATGATGATGTACATAAAGGTATGACCATATCATTCATAAACTATGGTATATGTGAGTGGTACCAGTAGGAGGAGTATGGCAAACTGTGGGGGAAGGCGACATAGGGGGAGGGAGAGGGTTGATAATGCTACGAAGCTAACTTCGTGACAAGGACAGAGGATATCTATAATATCTATAATATCCAAACTATCAAATGTTTTACTGCTTACACTTATCATTGCCAAGCAACATCATATTATGTAATTCTGTACATTGACAGAGCACACTTTCAATGGGAGGTAACTCTAGTTTTCACATTATATCTGTTGGTGTAGTCAATAATAGATGCGTTGATAGCTTAATTAGTAGCTAACCTATACTATCATGATACATAAATAAAATCTATGGGTTTTTCAAACCTTCTGGGAAATTCTCATTGGTAAGGTACTAACCTGACAGACTTTCAAGTTCATTTATGGCACAGGCAGGTCTGAGTGATGTAATGGTATCATTATACTTCAAGTCTAGCGTGTATAGTACATCAATTTATGTACACATAGACCTGCTCGATAACCTGGGAAGTTTTAACACTTCTGTTTAGTAACATAAGATATTTATAATTAGATTTTCAGATAAATATGATTTCATGTTTATTTGGTATCAATCAGAGATAGTATAGGTCCTCGATGCTGTTGACTATAAAGCTGTAATCGATGCCCTTTCATGTCTGTTATAATTAGTTTTAATAGGAGTGTGTCATATTAAAATCAAATTTCACTGTTAATAAACCACAAAAAAACTTGTACAGTTGAGTGGAGTGGCTTCTCTCTGGTTGTGCTTGTGTATATACATAAGTACGTCACTCTGGAGTTACTGTCAACAGTCTAAGCGACGGTGCCCTATAGAAGTATTTACACAGATCTCACACAGATAAACTGAGTTGCTTCTCTTATGTGCAGAGAAAATTAAACAGAATCATTTTTTCTGTGTATCATCAAACCTGCAATTTAAATGTCCTCAACAATATTTTAGGTGAAAAATGCTAGTTAAAACCACATCTTTTTTAATCTCAACAGAAGTTATTTACAGAAATGCCAGCTGCGACAACAATGATTGACACACTTTGGTTAGATAAGAATTGGGAACTC